AGTTCTTTTTCTCTGCATTTTGACAACTCACAGTTAAGCCGATCTTTTCTTTTTCTTTTCCATTTTTGCGGATGGTCGCTTTATCACTCGGTGACGTCTGGTGGCTCCGCTAAACCCCGTTCGGGGTCGCTCACGCAGCAAGGTCCATTGGGGCAGGGCATGGCGGGAGCCTCGCTCTCCGACCTCTCGGCCGAAAGAGCGACTCCCCCCTGGTGCGCCCTAAAGCGCCCCAGATCCGAGCTCCTCTCATCTGAGGGGCTCGTTCGGGTCTCCGCTCATGCGGATTCCCTCCTCCACCGCGGGCGGGCGAGGCGCCCTCGGGAGCGACCCGAGGAAGCGTCCGCCATGCGCGGGAGCCAGACCGGAAGCCCTTCTGAGCCAAATTTCAATAGCTGGCACATTCGTTTGTTTCCAGTGCTTTGCAGTTAGTAATCTTGCAGCCACTATCAGAGTTCTCAAAATGTGACCACACTGCTTTCCCAGTGAGCCAGAGTCATTGTCAATATTGGGTTCCTCCTGCCCCTGCCTGAGAAGAGAACAGGCCAGAGGGAGGCTGCCAGCTGTTTACTCCGGCCTGCTGCCCGCCCAGCTCACCTCTGCATCTGAATCAAGAGAGCAGAGGGAGGAGAGGAAAGATGGACGGCGTGTGCTCGGATCGAGACCTACAGTCTGTTGTGTCTGTGGACCGCCACCAGGGGTCTGCGGCCTCCGTCCTTGGCTTGGTTCCAAACACAAGAGGGACCAAGGATCCTAGAGCACCCTGAGTCCTCCATTAGGACCTTTGGCGGGAAATTCAGACACCCCCCCCCCAATGGAACGGTGGGTATGCCCGGGTGGAGGGTATATAGCTGGCCCTTGCCAGGCCGTGTGCGTTCTCTTGTTGTGAAGTACAATAAACGCGTCTAGTTAGCATGTCGTAGTCCGAGTCTCCATATGCAAACCCAGTACTTTACACAGTCCATCTATACACCTGAAAAAAATACTGAAATATCAAATCGGGGCTCTAATCCCCCCCCCCCCCCCCCCCCCCCGCTGCCATTTGTCTTTATCTAAAGGTTTCTGTATCACTCAGGGTAGCTATTGGCAAACTTTGGAAATTTGAGTTCTACCACGTGTGAACATTCTACAGTTTTGGATTTCAACTGCTACACAAGAAGTTCCAATCTGAATATAGTCTCTTGAATTATGAAAGCGAGGGTCTGGTTCTCGGACTCATCAAGTGGGCCCAGGTACAAATGGCCCAGGTGTTTCCCTCCCCCACATGGTGGCCCAATCTGCATAACTATAGAGGAAGACTGCAGAAATTGTGCTTGTGTGTGTGTGTGTGTGCGTGTGTGCACGCCCGCGCATGGAGTGGGGTGTCTGCCTTACACGATACATGCCCAGGAGAGGGGCACGGCTCTCTCTGCCCCCACACAGAAGGTGAACAGCCTGCTAAGTGTACAGACAAACGGACATTTCCTGAATTCCACAGTCACAGTTTGTAAATCCAGAATATTAAGCCCTGGTAATTGTTCCTGAATTAAACCTGATCCAGGGATTGTAAAGCCAGAGGGTGGAGGGGGTGTGCGCAGCCAGGAGAGACTTCCAGAGAG